TTTTTTTTGGGGGGGGGGGTCCTTAATATGGTTGTAGTGTAAGATACCCCCAAACCCTATTCTGATATTCGAGGCTGCTGCATTAAGCCCCAAGTAGGCCTTTTCCTTGCTGTTTGAACCCTAAACCCTATACCCTAAACCCTAAACCCCTAAACCCTAAACCCACAGGCCAGCAAGCAGAGCCGACTGGAGGAGGCTCGGTTCCTGCTTCTGAACATGATATGGGTAGTTGTCAAAATTATGGTCCCTGTTGGGGTACCCTAAATAATAGGTGCCGTATTATAATAAGGACCCTGATATGGGAGTTTCCGGAAAATTAGGGTACCTCATTTTGGGGCCCTTATAATAAGGATCCTATTATTTAGGGTACTATATTAGGGTCCCGGTCCCCTGTTTTCGGAAACTCCCATATGGCCCTTAAAGGGTACTACAGGGTTCCACAAAAGGGTAGCCTTGAAAGGGCTCTCTGAGAGGATCCCTTTTATTGAAGGCTGCAGGGTTTAAGAGTATAGGGGCTTTAGAGTGTCGGCTTCAGTGCTTTGATCTTCGCTTTAGGGCTTTCAGGGTCTTTCAAGGTTTAGTAGTCGGATAAGCAACCGTATAACCATTGGAGGGGGGGTGGTCAAGCAACCCCGGTGTAAAGGTTACCCTAAACCCTAAGCCCTAAACCCTAAACCGCTAACCTGCAGTTCCCCTAAGAAACTGGACAGGTAAGTTCGCGTTTAGGATCTTGGGTCTTGTGTGTACGGGTTTATGTTCTGGGTTTGGGGCTTCAGGTTTTTGGGGGTTTTGAGCTTTCTGTGTAGGGGTTCACGGATTAGTTAAGGCTTCCGATGATCCTAAACCCTAAACCCTAAACCCTAAACCGTGGCGGCAATCTGCTACCTTTTTATCGGGATGTTAGCTTTGAGCTAATTTGCGAAGGCTCTACAAAGGGGGTCCCGTAATGTTCGGGTAGGGGTCCCGTGAATCCTGAACCTGCCATCCTTTCAGAAGGAGCCCTTAGGGTCCATGTACCCAAATAGTAGATACTTAGGGTTTAGGGTTTAGGGTTTAGGGTTTAGGGTTTAGGGTTTAGGTAGATACTTTGGCCCCAAAGTACTGAGAAAAGGAACTACTTTAAGGCCCAAGGTATAGACTATTTAGGTACATGGACCCTTTGGGATAACTAAGGCGGGTAACCCAACTTCCCTGCTTAGCCCGCAAGGCAACCACTTGCCCTTGAAACGAAATCGAACGTCTTTGGGCTACAGGTGGACAGAGCGCAGAACCCGAAACCCGAATGCAGAACCTCGAATCCCCCTAATAAACCATCAGGACTAGAACCCAAAACCCTGTATGAATCTCGAAAGCCTAGAGGCCTATCCTAAACCCTAAACCCTAAACCCTAAACCCTAAAACCCTAAACTCTAAACCCTAAGCCCAAAACCCCTAAACCCCTAACCCCTAAACCCCTAAACCCTAAACCCTAAACCCTAAACCCTAAAACCCTAAACTCTAAACCCTAAATCCCGAGAAAAGCAGGCCTTAACCGTGGCCTTCCTTCACGAGATCGGAGCCCCTGTTGACTTCAAGGCACCACTCGACTCCCTAGACCCTAAGAGCCAAAACCCCAATAGGGTTTAGGGTTTAGGGTTTAGGGTTTAGGGTTTAGGGTTTAGTCCCTAAACCCCTAAACCCCTAAACCCCTTGAGTCGCAGGCGAGAGTCTCATTGCACCCTTAAAAAAACTGAACCCCTAAACCCCGAAACCCGAGACCCTAAACCCTAAACCTCTAAACCCCTAAACTCCTAAACCCTAAACTTGACGGCCAGGGGAGTTCAGAGTTGAGGGACTCCGATCTCAGGTTCTACCCGAAGTGGGTTTAGGGTTTAGGGTTTAGGGTTTAGGGTTTAGGGTTTAGGGTTTGGACCCCTCCACTCTTTTTTTCGGGGTCACAGTACCTTTGCTTCTATGACCCTAAGCCCTAAACCCTTCTATGCTCCTGACCATAAACCTAGGTGGCCTAAAAAAGGGGGTATGGCCCTCCAGGTAGGACTGAGGGTTTTAGGTTTAGGAGCCAGGGTCTACAGGGTTTAAGGTCGATTGTGTCGGGCTCCTAAACCGGCATGAGCTTTTTTAAACAGCCATGGAGTTTTGACTTAAGCTTCTAAATACCAAAGGAACCCCCCGAACGCTAAACCCTAAACCCTAAACCGTATCGGGGTTTGTAGGGGGTTTCAAGGTTCAAGCGTCTCGAGAGTTTCGGGGTCAAAGGGCTTAAGGCGGTAGGCTTTCGGATGTTGAGTTTAGTGCTTGCTGCTGTGTCTGTGTTCACAAGGCCCAAAGCCTTTAGATCTTGAAACAAAAAGCTCGTGTTTGTTATCCTGTACTCTTGTGGTTCCTGCTCTGTTCTATCTTGCGTTATTGACCGTTAGTGTTGAAGAGTAGTCTGGGCAAATGAAGCACGTTGGTTCCCACAGCGACCTCCTCCCGAGAACAAAAGCTTACAACAAACACACTTTTCTGGTCGTGGGGTTCTTGAGCTGGGGTCCGAAATCGGGGTCGCATCGCACTTCTGATGCCTTAAGCAGCCGTGCATCTAAAGAAAGCTGAGTATACTTAAGCCTTGAACGCCTTCCAGTGGAGTAACTTTGGGTCCAAAGTTTCTACTCGTGAGTGCCAAAGGGATGGTTTAGATATGCACGTTTGAGTATTGCCCCGCGGACAAGCTGTGGGCACATTGAGATCGAACTTGCATATGCTGCATATATGCATATATATATATATATATATGTATTTATTTCTATTTATTTATTTTGTATTTATGTATTTTATATGTATAGACAAATACAATTACATACATATGTATATACAGATAGATATGTTGATATGTGTATATATATATAGAGATTTATATTGGTTTATTTCTGGAGTGTCCTGTGGGTGCATATGAGCCCAGAGCCGTCCACCCGAGTCGACAAGCCCAAACCCTATGCTTTAAACCTTAACCCTGTCACCCTGAAGACTTCTCCTATACCCCGTACCTCGGGTTTCTCGTGCCCACATAGCTGTAGCATGTTCTTTCGCCGTAGAGTTGCTCCATACGAACCTGCTTACGTCCTGACGAAGACTACAAAGGTACATGGACCCCATGAAATCTAAAAAACAATCGTGCACGATCCTTAAAAGACAGTTTGAAGGACTCCCGGAGGGGGGAATCTATGTAACTGCGCTTATTGCTCCTTAGGGTTCCTGTTTACAATATCCACAAGACTACAATGTGCCCCAAAACCCCAGTCTAATCATTCAGGCCCCCAAACCGCTATTCTAATTAATTGAGGCCCCTAAACCCTAAAGCCCT